CGTGTGTATGCAAGCGTGCAGCTTCATGGAGGTGCAGTGTGGTGGGGGCTTGGGGCTCGTTATGTTTTGGTTGTGTTTTCCTTTGGTTTCTGTCCGGACGGGGTGCGTCCGCGTTGCGATGTGCGTTTGCGAGAGAGTCCTACATGGTGCTACGAGTGAATTCGTAAGGCGGCGCACATGCTGGGAGGCAACAGTGACTATTCGATGCTTTCTGTCAAGCGTTAGTAGTGTTGACGGGCAGTTTGGTAATGTGTTGTGGCAGTTGTTTTGCGAGGAACAAGAATGGCGAGAGCGGTCCACGGACGGCACCCTTGTGTAAACGCTCATGGCTTTCGCACGAACGCGCACGGAAGCCGTTATCCATTTTTGTACCTACTGAGTAACCAAGCGTGCAGTGGAAGACGTCGTGAAGGCGGATGGTGGAAGACGTAGTGAAGGCGGATGGTCCTATCTGGCCGGGATTCGCTGATTGTGGTTCGGGTTTTTGCGTATGTGCAATCCATGATGGTTTCGCTGGTTTTCATTTCTCCCGGTTCGGTCCTTCAAAGCAAACTGGCAAACTGGTCATAAAACTGCAACGCGCCAGGCACGCTTGGCTAGGAAGCAGCCCCCTGGTCTGCGCGTTCGTGATGGTTCAAACACGTCCCTCACACTTCGATTTTCACCGGTCGTCCAACGTGATGGCATTCGACATGAACGGTCCATCCCGCAAGGTGCACTGTTTATAAGTTACCATTAAACATGCGTTTCATTCCCGTGCCCTGTTGGCATCAGCTTCGTCTGTCGAGAGGCGCATGGGCAGTATTTTGTGGAGAGGTAGAAGACTTTCATCATCAGGGATGGCGGGTTTTTGCAGCTCGCGTGTGCGTGTCGCCTGTCGCAGTGTGGTGAAGCCCTCTCTAGCGTCACCGTTGCTTTCTGGTTCGTTCAGAAAGTATGCACTCAGAGGTGAACCCATCTGCTCTGCACGGTTATGGATACTGCCAGGTTTCAAACTGCTTGGTGGCAGGAATTAATGTGTGTACGCATGCGTTCATATTCATGGAGTTGCAGTGTGAGAAAAGGCGGAGGTCGTTTTTCTCTGAGCGGATTCTGCTGTGGTGTATGCAGAGGCAGGATCTTTCGGTGTTGCGATATGCGTTTGCCAGACAGATTCTGACTTGACAGCCGACCTCAGTGAACTGGTCGTGCAGTATGTCTGCAGGGCAATAGTTGTAAGGAGGCAGCAGCGACTCGGCGATGGTTTGTGTCAAAGGTTTGGTAGCATTGACGATCCGGCCGTTCATGTAGGGCACTGGGTGTGCGGCGGAGGATAGCGGTAGCCAATGATAGGTGTTGCCCCAAGGCGTAGCGAACAGACGTTGCTCCGGAATGCATCGGGCTTGCAGCGAATTCCAAGAAGCTCCTGACGCATTGAATAGCTACGGATTAAAAACGAATATGGTGCGGTAGGCCAGGCTGGCATCGGTGACTTCAGGGGAACAGTCACGCTGTTCGGTATTCGGATGAAGTCATGGTTGTGAACGCTACACTGCTTTTGCCGGAGTCTGGCACGTACCAACACAGTGTTCAGGACACATAAAAACAGCAGGCAGAGGCAAAAGGGAGGAGGACGCAAGGC